GGAGGGGCTCAAGCCCGTGAGTCCTTTACCACCCTCCGCCACTGATCACCTCGAAGAGCTTTCTTCACATTGTGTTGAAGGGTAGTGCGAGAATGCCGTAAAGGCATATGACTTTCCTCAAAGGCACTCCATTTCTGATAGCCACCATAGCAACTTTCATTGTAACAGGTAATGCTGTGCCTACGCCGGTCTTCAACCTAGTCTTCTGGATGGTCCGATTTCCCTAGAAGCCTGTAATGGGGCCTCTCAGACCCCACTATTTATCCTTTGTATTTTATAGATAAACTTGGTGGTTGATAATCATTTACAGAAACTTAAACACGGAAACGTTGAAACAAAGCAACCAAGACTACACATACAGAAATAATCTGTTTAACGAACAAATTTATTGAACTTTATATATCATATATTAGTTGGTGAACAAATTTGAGTGAGGTTTGACTGAAATCAAAGCAATTCTGGCACTATTTTTTCCTAATGATTGTGGGTCGGTCATGTCATGAACATGCTGTTTTTATTGCTGAATAATAAGATTGAATTTAAATGATGATGTGGTCGTTTTTCAGTTCAAAATGAATCTCATGAAAATGCCCAAGAAGACTTAATTACGGTAAATGATAATTAAGATGATGCCAAAACAGTGTGGTACATATAGTAACTTGATACCAGTACTGGCAACGAAGACCAGGGGACAAGTGCTCGGAATATAAATGTCTACTGACAGTGAAGAAAAATGCGCTTGGAAACAGAGTGTTCCCCACAAACTGATATTCCACAAGACAAGATATTATGTCCTTGTTTCTCTGATAAAGTCCACAGCGTTTCCTCTTTCTTTGCCCATGTTCAGTGGCCAGTGCTCTTGCTTCTTGGGTTTGGGTAAGTGGTGTGACACCACAGAGAAGTATGCTCATACGAACTGACTTAGGGATGTTCTCGGTGGCAGCCCGGCATTGTATTAATGGCAAGCAGAGTTCATCACCCAACATCTCCAGGAAGATTTTTCACCTGTGTTTCTTGCGGATATTCCACTGGGGATTTTGAGCAGTGAAGCAGATGTAAGCAACAATAGCTGCAACATCCAACAGATTGCAGAAGGTCAGAGGCCATCTCACGGTCTGCCTCTTTGGCATGTATGCATGGACCATCTGATCCATAGTGTCCACACCGCCCTTTGTTTTGTTGTAAAAGATTTTGATTTCTGCTCTCCCGGTCTCCTCGTCGATGCTGCCATATCGGTACATACTTGACAGAAGGAGAACTGCCTTTCCTATTATAGTAAAAATGCCTTGGGGTCTGAGAGGCCCCCTTTAGGGTTCAGGGCGGGGGGGGGGGGGGGGGGTTGTCCTAGGAAAATATCCATCACTGTCTTCCAAATTATCCAAATAACTTCATAGACCGTGTTCATGCTTATCAGAGGGTGTTTGAAGAATACCTGAGTGGAAAATAACATCGAACCAAAAGTTTTGTCGAAAATGCCTGACATATACCTGTTGGGGTCTGCAAGGCCCCCATCCAGAAGACTAGCGTTAATACGTAGCACTGTCCTTAGAGATAGGACAGAAAAAAAGAATAAAGCATGTCAAATATAATGCATGTCTTCGGGACGCTGGTTCACAAAAGCCAAAAGACTAGAAAGAAGCGGTTACACAGTGTCACACTAGAGCGCCAATGAGGGGAAAACTCATGAATGGTATATTACTTACAATACTACCCTGTGGTTTGTTTTAAAAGTCTATCTAGATCTAAACCTTTTTCTTTATCTTATATTCTAACAAAATGTATATAGATCTACTTTTAGTCAGGATTTATAGGTCGTATGACTAAAATGGCATGGGAAATGTGTTGAAGATTATTTTTCTACAACTGGGGACACCTGGGGAGAAGTGGGCCGATGGTGGCCTACTTCTCCCATTGGTAGTCTTACTATTCAAATGTATGTTTTCTTCAACTAGCAGTTAAAACATGGAAATCAAATTAAAATAAGTAATTAGATACGTTCTTTAACTGATGTTACACTTACCCGATCTGTTTTGCTCCTCTCTGTGGTAAAGTTGCGAGTTTCAAAAATTAAGTTATTGAAGTTTCTCTATGAAAACGACTCTCCACTCAATTCACTCAAACCACCCTGAAAAAGGAATGAAGTCCCTTGTGCTGCTGGCAACAATTGTTCGTTTGTCTACA